GAAATTGCAAATACCGGCGGTACTTCGATGCAATGAAATTTTTAGATGGGGTTGTGGATGAGGAGTGTACACGGTATGTTTCGGTCGTTGTTTTTGGTCCTTCTCCAGCAAATTCTCGTGAAGTTGCAAAATGCTTTGATTCTTTTGGGGGATGAATGAAGTCTTGGTAACAATAGGATGCATTTTTGCCGTTTTGCCGTGAAAATCTTCCTTGTTTGTAATTACTTGAATTATGACTTCTTTCACTCTGAGGTTATTTTCCAACCCTGAAACATGTCATATAATCAGTCTAGAAATTAGTAGGATCGCCAGACAGCTGATACAGATATCTTCTATGTTAATAATTGTTACTGGGATGCAGTGTTACTGTTCGAATGCAACTTTCTTCGATGTATAGCGCACCGAATTCCAATGATCGTTATATAAAGCTGTGAACATCTGAGCGTAATTTTAGCGACAGTTTCTTCATATCAGAACCAGAAAGCGGAAAAGCATGCAGCAGCAGTCCCGCACCAGGACCAAGCAATTACGAAAAGGATGCGCAGGAATCAACACGAATAAATACCGGTGAGTTACCATTTCATCTTATATAAATTGTATTTTGATGACAAGATTACTGATGATCCGTGATGCCACTTATCAAGCAGCAGGAGCAGTAAGTCGAAAGACAGCTGGCCGGTGCAAAATTGAGCAGCATTTTTGCTGTCTTGAAAATGTCAATTCGGAAAAGCTCTGCGGAAGACTGATAAAGCGAAAGACAGACAATTAAATCAAAAGTCAAGCACTTCTGTCGCCTAGTAGTCGCTGATAGTCAGGCACTTAATCCTTTTATTTTTTGATCGGATGTTGTTTCATCGTCGCGTTTCTCGCCGACTGATGGAACTAGCAATTTCAACTATCTTCCTCTGTTTTGCTCGTCCGGCACGTAAAATCGCGAATGTCACGTACTATGGCGAATGTCACGTGTTATCGCCTCTGTTTCATGATGTTCAAAGAAAATGGTTCGTCTTTTTTCAGGCAGTCACGACGAAGTGGTGTTGGAAAATGATGGAACTATCGGTACATCGAAAGTGATTGACACTCTTGCGTTACTTGCGCAACAGTTACAAGGGCAAAATACTGAACCAGTGGAAATCATACAGCCAATGGTGCAGCCAAAACCAGATGCAACAGCCGGACCAACCGAGCAACAGTTCTATCAGCAGCTGGAATCGTGCTTTTTCATGCTTACGCCGGAAAAACAGGCAGTTCTAAGACGAGACATAATGAAGTATGCATTTCGAAGAACAAATCAACTGATGGATGATAGCGTTTAGTTACTATGCAGACAAAAAATTGTAAATTTTTGTTTTTACGTATGAATAATTGATGTTCGATTGCTTTGAATCAACTCAGAACTGTAGGCATTATTCGTAGAACAGTTTTCAGCTCGTTTTGAAGTATATTTAGAAATATTAAAAATTGATGCAAAAACATGTCTACTAAAGGTTCAAAAATTAGTAGTTTAGCTGAGATTAAAATGTTTCGATCCATTAAGTTGCATGTGCCTTAACTAAGCGCCATTCATCATTAAGGCGGTTGTGGCACAAAAGGAATGAGGAGACACAAGAGAAGAGGATAATCATTTTTGATTCTTGTTTGAGAAGCTTCAGTATTACAGCACAAATTTGGCTCATATCTGTTGCTTTATTTATGCTGGTTCAGCCTGGCCAGGAGTAGAATCGATCTGCATTTTTTCATGTGGTTGTATGATAATTTTGGGAATTGCGCATTGCTGCTGTCTTCTCTTGTCAGTTTCACAATCTTTCTTATTCATTTCGGCTGATATAGTGGAAGTTGTGTTAT